AATAATCAAAGAATCCTTTAATTCCTTCTCTTCCAAATGTCATACAGTACCAACTGTGAACCAAACAATCCAACTCTTACTGACATACCTTCTTGAGGCATTTGCTATTGTTTCAAGGTACTCATCTTTCCTCCCCAAATACATTATATTCTCTATGCAGATAGAGTTTGCCTTGTACCCTTCATAATTCCTCACTGCTCTTAGCACAGTATTAAGCACATAATAAGTGCTGATAAGGCACAAATATTATGCTTAAAGTTTAAATTATAATCATGCTATATTTCTGAAAGAATATCAAGGCAAAATGTTTCTCTGAGGATGTAAGATGTGATAGAAGGTAGAATTTAAGAAAGCAGTGATAAAGGAAAGGACAGATACAATTTAAACATCCAAGTATTTTGATTTACTGGAAACATAAATCTGAAACTCGTAAAAAGATTACTTCTAGAATACATTTCTTACTAAACCAAGTTCTTTCCACACAGAGAAGTCCTAGAAACTGCCTCTGTAATTATCTCTTTGACCTGAAGAGGGCACTGTTTGCTGCTGTTTATAGCAGTTATTTACAAAAAACCGATCTCATTTTGAAGAATCTGCTATTCCTAATACATACGAAATAACTAGAACAAATCCTATGTTATCTGTAGAGACTAGGTCAGATTTCCACATCCTGGAATCAAATTTTCCACCAGTTTAGAAAGGTCAAACCATGGAGGAGCTTTTAGGAACTGTATTTGTGATCCGGTGGCTTTGGCCTGGATGAGAGCTGAGTGAATTCATGTCATCAAGAACACAGAGGACTCAGAAGGTTCTGAGAACTAGTCTCTACATTTTACAGAAGGGATTCAAAAAGTAAATAAAATATTTAATTCACCCTTTATTTAACTTACCCTTAATTCATCTTTTTAAGAAAATTTGCTATCAAGAAAGAGGAAAGCTCTTCCTGACCAACTGTCCAGAAAGACAGAACCAGTCTCTGTTCTCCAGAGAGACAGAACCAATAGGATGAATATATAGATATATGAGAGGGGATTTATTAGAAGAATTGGCTCATGCAATTATGGAGGCTGAGAAGTCCCGTGACAAACTGTCTGCAAACTAGAGAACCTGGGATGCTGGCAGTAGGGTGGCTAGCCCAAATCCAAAAGCGTGAGAACCCAGGGGGCCACTGGCATAAGTCCTGGAGTCCATAGGCCACAGATCCCAGAGTTCTTGTGTCTAAGGGCAAGAGAAAAAGAGCGTATCCCAGCTCCAGGGGAGAGAGAGAATAAGCTGCTTTTCCTAGGTTTCTGTTCTACCCAGGGCCCTAGCAGACTGGATGCCCACACTGAAGATGGATCTTCCCCACATATTTCATTAAGACTCACAAGCTAATGTCCTCTGGAAACACCCTCACAAACATACCCAAAAATAATGCTTTACCAGTTCTCTAGGTATTCCTTAATTCCGTCAAGTTGACACCTAAAATTAACTATCACCCCATCCACGAAGGAAAGATGTTTTATCATCTACTATAATTATCTGAACAGTGTTTCAGATCCATGGGTATAGAATGAAAAAGATCTAGAACAAGTCTAATGCCTTTGTTTCTGTTCTTGTTAACTAGGGTTTTGTAGTGCAGGGGAAGATAAGCAGCCTCCTTCAGTGCTAGTACCAGCTCCACCTCTCCCTGAACCACAAGACCACCCAGTCAAGGGACTTAGCCATCTACTTCTGTGCTGCAGGGAACCTACATGCCCCTGAAAGCACCTAAATGCACCACCCCCTCCACCCTGCATTGGGATCTCCACTCAGGGGTTAGTAAACCATCTTCATCACCTCCTCTGACCAAACGAATATTGTAAATGAATATAACAAATCAGAGAAAATCTTGTTTAAAAGACTTTTAAAACATTTTTTGTTCATTGTATTTTCAGATAAGGAATTCACAGTCACAAGAACCCTGACCATGAGCTGTCTGAGGTGATTAGGACTGGGCACCCTGAGTGTTCTTTCATCAAGATCCACTCATCTAAGAGAGGCTGTCTCAGTGATTGGAGCGGCTTCTCCCACTTGTGCCATTAATTGCTGATGTGCCTCGGTTTTTGAATCTGTAACAATTCTCCCATGAGAACGTGAGAGTAGGTGTGTGATACTCACATATTTTTCTCCTAGTTTTTACTGTTTATAGTCTAACTAGCTAACTCCAGTAGAGTTGATATCCCAAGGAAGCACAGTAGAATTTCCCAGACTGCCCAGAAGGGGTTCTGCTTCCACAAACAGGCAGCCTTCTGCCCACCCCACCCATATTTGCCCACTTACAAGTTCTTTTATATACATCGCTTTATTTGGTCTTCAATGTTCAATAACTTGATTAACTGTGGAAGCTGGGAACTGATTGGATGATAAATACAAGATACTAAAGTTCTGATTGCATAGGCCCCAGAGGGTCACAAAAAAAGATAGATCTTGTCTAAAGTGGCCACACCACCCTGAATATGCCCAATCTCATCTGAAATGGCAAGATCCATTGCAGCATTGGAGTCCCCAACCAGCATTGCAATTGCAGGCCCAGTGAGCCCAGGCAAGAGGCAGAAAACATTCACTCTTGAGACCCTAATTAGTGAACTCATAGCTGCAGCTGACCTGAGACTGGGAGAGAAGACAGCTCAATCATCTAGAGTTTCCTATACAGACTAGAGAGTGGTGGCACATGCCTGTAGTCCCAGCTACTTGGAAGGCTGTGGTGGGAGCATCACTTGAGCCCAGGAGGTTGAGGCTACATAGTTGTGCCACTGCACTCCAGCCTGGGCAACAGAGTGAGACCCTGTCTCAAAAGGAAAAACAAAAAGGACCAGAGAGGAGAAGGGGGTAAATTGTAAAGTAATAGCATATTTACCGATTTCCTGTGAATTTGTCCAGAAAATAGTAGGTAGTGCAGAAATTTAACACCAAGCAAACAAGAGACCACTGCAGAAGAACTCGACATGCTGTACTTTAAGAAGTCCTCTGGAGTTAAGAACATCTGTGGCAGAATGCCCGCTGTTAATACCATTTCCAAGTGGAAATAATAAATGGGAAGGGAGAGTTAAGACTACCGCTCCCTATACAGCTTTTAATTTAGTCTTTTAGTCTCCTTCTTGTTTTACAGGGGGAAAAGTTTACATAAAGCTGAACTATAGAGAAGTCTTATCTAAGATTGGATGACACAAATTCAATAGGGAGAGAGAATTAATGCAAATCAAACTAGTAGTTCTCTGTATTGTGAGTTTTCATTTTTGCTCTGTTGTCTCTTCTACAAAATGAAGACTAATTCCTGACCTTTCCTCCCTCAAAGAAGAATGTGTGCATGAGGAAAAATCAGGTGCCAAGGAAAAGCTGTCAGATGTGCAACACGGAATGTTCCCAAATGAATTTTATGTTAATTGTTCTGAGTCTTCCTTCACAAAGTCATTAACAGAAGCACACAAAAGCCCTTGCCACCAGTATTGTAGAGCTTCTTGACACAGCCAAAATCAGATATTCTTTTTTTAAAAAAGAAAGTCTTCAGCAAATTACGGTATAATTAGATATCAAAATTCTGGTTTCAATTTTCTCTAGACTATCTGAACGTTATTGTTGTTGTCATTATTTTTCATCATTTCTCAAAGTATTAAAATACAATTTGGTCAAACAATTACATAACCAATATCTGTGTTATCATAACCCAGAAACAATTTTCTGATATTGGCTTCAAGACAGAGGAGGGAGAGAAAAAAAGGAAAGAAGGAAGGAAAATAAAGGAAAAAGGAGGAGTAAGGGGAAGGGAAGGAGAAAGGGTAGACGGGAAGGAAAGAGAGAGAGAAAGTGGAAAGACAACAAAAGCTTATAGAGAAAACTGAAGTCACAACATCAGCTTGGCCTGTCTTTTCCCCATCCATCTCATTCTCCTTTCCAAATTATGTCTTTAAAAAACAATTTATCAGCTCCCTTTCCTCTTCATTTTTATTCCCAAATAAATTACAGTTCCGACAACATCTTTTTTTCATTAAACATTATAGTCAAAGTTTTATTTTCTGAAGCAAAAGACAAAAAGTGTCAAGGAGCTTTCCCTAAGGGAGACATCATAAACAGCCCACCTGACATCCCATTTCCTGTTCTAAAGCAGCTACAGCACCAGTACAGCTGATACTCAAGGTTCAGATCAGAAGAGGAGGCTTCTCACCCGACAGCAGGGACCTGTGAGCATGGCATGCCCCGGCTTCCTGTGGGCACTTGTGATCTCCACCTGTCTTGGTAAGGAAGGCACATGTATTTACCTTAACTAGTATTCAATAGAACAGAGAAGTGGGAAGAAAGATTAATCGTGCAGGAATCTAATCTCCTCATTGGGCCCAGATATTAGAGGCAAGAAAGTTGATGGATTTTGTCAGAGGTTTGGATCAAGAGGGAGAAAGCTGGGTTGCAATGGGAACAGGCTTGTGAGTCTGTTTCTCTCTTCCACATGATATCCCAGTGAAGTCCTTTCTCTCCTCTTTCCCACAGAATCCGGCATGGCTCAGACAGTCACTCAGTCTCAACCAGAGATGTCTGTGCAGGAGGCAGAGACCGTGACCCTGAGCTGCACATATGACACCAGTGAGAGTAATTATTATTTGTTCTGGTACAAGCAGCCTCCCAGCAGGCAGATGATTCTCATTATTCGCCAAGAAGCTTATAAGCAACAGAATGCAACGGAGAATCGTTTCTCTGTGAACTTCCAGAAAGCAACCAAATCCTTCAGTCTCAAGATCTCAGACTCACAGCTGGGGGACGCCGCGATGTACTTCTGTGCTTATAGGAGCGCACAGTGAAATAAGCAACAGGGAGAGGCTTACAGAAACCTCAGACCTCAGCATCTGTGTAAAGGTCAGAGGGAAGTGTTCAGGGTTATAGGAACACAAAGAGGAAATCATTGTCTTCACTAAAGGAAAAAAAAATGTATCTGACTATAGGAAACACAGAGGGGATGTCTATCAGCTGTAATTTTTGAAATAGTAATAAAATAATGAATCCACACATGCTTTATAGATTTTCAAAATACCTTCACGTGTTAATTCATTAAACGTGCACAAGCCCGTGTGTTACATAGATCAGATAACATATTCTAAGCATCACTGCTATCCAGAGAATCTTAGAGCTTGACCTAAAGCTCTATTCTTTTAGAATTATGTATTTTTGCTTTATTATTTTAATTACTATCTGTCTGTACATCCCATGATCATATCAAAGTCAATATATCCAAAAGGCCAGGCGCGGTGGCTCAAGCCTGTAATCCCAGCACTTTGGGAGGCCGAGACGGGCGGATCATGAGGTTAGGAGATCGAGACCATCCTGGCTAACACAGTGAAACCCCGTCTCTACTAAAAAATACAAAGAACTAGCCGGGCGTGGTTGCGGGCGCCTGTAGTCCCAGCTACTCGGGAGGCTGAGGCAGGAGAATGGCGTAAACCCGGGAGGCGGAGCTTGTAGTGAGCTGAGATCTGCCCACTGCACTCCAGCCTGGGCGACAGAGAGAGACTCCGTCTCAAAAAAAATATATATATATATATCTCCAAAACTGAATTTCTTACCATCTCCACAAGCCTTTATTTTTTCTTCTTTTTTTCCTCCTCAGCCTTGCTCAAGATTCAGGAACACAATAAAAGTTTGCTATTCCTGTGTTTCCAGTTTGGGGAATTTCTTCACCCTCGACTTTCCAGCCTGGGCTATCAGATTTTTATGCATACCTTATTACTTTCTAATTATAAAATGGTGCAAAAAAACCACTACATCATGTCAGACTCACTGTTTCCCATCCATCCATCATTCTTCCTGACTTTAACCTGGCTTCATCCTGTATTTCTTAACGTTCTTTAAAGCATCATTTGTCTTGACATAAGAAAGTAAGGGAAGAAAGCAAACAATTGTCAAGTAAGATTTCATGTACTGCTAGTACTCACCAGCAAATGCTAAAAAAAATTAAAAAAATAAAAATAAAAAAGGAAGTTAACTTCTGGTAATGCTATAATTGCTTCTGGTAAGGCAGCCTTGCAGGTGGTGACAATTTAGATAAACCTGGTCTAACAGTAAGGCCAAGCAGCTGCCATGGTCCAAGTCACCACACCTATGTCTTCTGAGACTTGGGAGAATTCTCAGAATTAGGAGATGCCTGGACCGTGAGAGGATTCTCCCTTATGCTAAGGGAAAAATTAAAATAAATGAAAAAAATAATGCCAACATTTCTTTTTATGCCCACAATTCCCCCAATACATCTCCTTCACTATTAAGCCTCTTGTGGAGCATTTTATTCCATCTGCTCACTGTGGGTGGTGAGAGGCAGTTTGGAATGACAAACTGCTGAAATAATTAAGTTCAATAAGCAGGCTGCAGAGTTTAGGTTGGGGGTCTGTTTGGAATGAGTGGTGAGAGCGACTGGATGTGGGAGAAGCTAAGGGGAAGCCAAGACCAAACTGCGGAATCATAATTCAGATTGCTGAGTCATTTCCCAAACACAACAGCTTCTGTAACGCCACACCCTAGCCCAGCTCGGCACCCAGGCTTCTACTTGTCTGGAAAAGTAGAGTAGGCACCAATCAAAATGAAAACCTTTCTCTCACACAAGGAAGACACCTTCAGGCTATTCAGGTTTTGCCCTCCCTTTTACCCCTGAGGCCCATCAGCCACGCAGACTTAGATTCAGGCTAGTTACCAAGTTTCATACCTAAACTCATTTCTTTCCATCCTTGCTTCTAGTGCTTTCATGCAGCTCCTCTCATTTGAATTAATAAATAATCATTCATCTACTCTGTCTACCTTCAATTGCGTCCCCTTTTAATTTGGTTTAGCTGTGTCCCCACTCAAATCTCAACTTGAATTGTATCTCCCAGAATTCCCACATGTTGTGGGAGGGAACCAGGGGGAGGTAATTGAAACATGGGGGCTGTTCTTTCCCATGCTATTCTCGTGATAGTGAATTAAGTCTCACAAGATCTGATGGGTTTATCAGGGGTTTCTGCTTTTGCTTCTTCCTCATTTTTCTCTTGCCGCCGCCATGTAAGAAATGCCTTTCACCTTCCACCATGATTCTGAGGCCTCCCCAGCCATGTGTAACTGTAAATCCAATTAAACCTCTTTTTCTTCCCAGTCTTGGGTATGTCTTTATCAGCAGCATGAAAACAGACTAAAATACACCCTTCAAACATTGCTTCACACAGCTGCCTGAGTGAGCATCCTATAATAAAAATCAGATCATGTACACATACCTCTGCCTCAATAAAGCCTCATTTCCCGCAGAAAGGCCCTGATTATTTAGAATATAGGTCCGTCAAAGCAGAGGCCACCACTGTATTTCCAGCACTTACTATACCTGATAGGGTAAATGGTCAGGGTCATCTATTCATGGATTAATTAGGCTGTCCCCTGCTTAGCAACTTTGCCTCATTTGTTGCTATATTCCCATCTCCCAACAGCATACACGCTCAACCTCTCAGCAAATGAAATTGTTTCCTACATCTATGCCTTTGCCAGCATTGTCCCCTCAGCATGGAATGCCTATCCCCAACTAACCACTTGCCTATTATTTGAAAGGTTCACAAGCCTCCTCTCTTCTCTGAATCCTTGTCCTGACCCTCTTGCACTAGTAGAACTAATCACTTTCTCCTTTATCTCCTAACTGAAACCCTAAGCATATTTCTAATGTGGCAAATCTAACACTTTATGGTGTTTATAGGTATTTTTCACTGTCTCCTCACTAAAATGCAAACTGTTAGTTACCAAGGACACAGTTTTACTCATTTCAATAGCAACTGTGCTTACAACAATCTTTAATTCGCAGAAATGATTTTTTAAAGTTTTTTGAGTGAAGGTAATTAATTGATGGGCATTTTCCTCATTAAACATTGTAGAGTAAAAATGGATAAATTTTCTATTTTGCTATCTCCTCTATAGTTGTGTCAACTCAGAATTCTGAGCTAACTCACAGGACTGTATGGCATGTCAAAAATTAATAGTAACAACAGTATCATGCTGATAATAAAAATATTAGTAGTAGCTAACAATTATTGAGTATCTATATGCACCCCATATTCTGAGAGGTGCATGACATACTTTATATCATTTAGTAGTCCCAACAAATCCATGCTGTAGCTACTATTGATATTCTAATTTTATGTGAAGAATTAATATAAGTTCAAAGAGGCCAAAATGCCTAGAATCACACAATGTATGACACCTTAACCACTGGACTTTTTGCCTTCCCAAAGGGTGGCAAACTGCTATAGCACCTCAGTCTTATTAATGTAACAGACACATAGAACATAAGAAAGAAATTCATGAAGACAGTGCTGTATGCCATACATGCACTTGTAGTCCTCACTTTTTCTAGAGTAGTAATTGCAAGATGAGACTTATTTCAATTATCTTTATTAATAGAAGTTAAACGTAAAAATGACACTATTACCATTATTGTTTACATAGGAAATTTGTGCCTTTTTAACATTAGTTTGTAATTATTTGACTTGGGATTACACAACATTTTAAACTTCTTCAGTGCATTTTTCAATAGCATTTAGGTTTAAAATGCAGTCTTTGGCAGGGGCATTAATAAATGTTTCAAATGTCATTTTGTATAACTCTATGAAGAATACAAGAGTTTAGAAGAAATTTCTAACCTTCCCAAGTTATCCAAATTTCCAAGTTATCATAGGAAAATCCTTCCTTTGTAACTTTTTAAACTTTTTTGTATATGGTTGGGTGTTTCTATGAAATCTGCTTTTCCATTTTTTTGCTTCAGTGAAAAACTAATATATTGTGAAAATGTTCCCATATAAACAAGCAGTTTTTCTATAGCATGAGTTTTCCATGGCTATATTATATTTTTGAAATATACTTCATTTTACTCAATAACTTGAGGGGTTTTTTTTGTTTTTTGTTTGTTTGTTTTTTTCAGATGGAGTCTCACTCTGTCACCCAGGCTGGAGTGCAGTGGTGCAATCTTAGCTCACTGCAACCTCTGCCTCCCAGGTTCAGGCAATTCTCCTGCCTCAGCCTCCCGAGTAGCAGGGATTACAGGTGCGCACCACCCTGCACAGCTAATTTTTGAATTTTTAGTGGGGGTTTCCTTGTGTTGGCCAGGCTGGTCTCAAACTGCTGACCTCAATTGATCCGCCTACCTCGACCTCCTAAAGTGCTGGGTTTGCAGGCATGAGCCTCTGCGCCCGGCCTAACTTGAGTTATTGATCGAGTAAATCAACAAATACAGTAAGCATGATAAGTACATTGTTTCCAGACTGGAGCTATTATAAGTAAAACTGTAATTTTAAAAAGATGCTTGTACATAGAATAGTATGCAAGTAAGAGAGAGCCCAGATCAAAGTAACTGAAGCAAAACAAAACCAAACAAAAATCTGTTGGCTAATAAAACTGAAAAATCTGGGTTAACTACTTTAGGAAGGACTGGACTAAATGCTCAAATCATATCACCACAGCATGTCTCCATCGTTTAGCTCTTGTTTATATTGGCTTTACTCTGAAGCAAGCTCAGGCCCACGTGATGGCAAAGATGGCCACCAGGAGCCTCAGACTTGTGTCCTACTGTGTTAGTTTCCTCCTGCTGCTGTAACAAGTTACCACAAAAATGGTGGCTTAAACAATATTACTTTATTATCCTACAATTTGGGAGTTCATAAGTCTCAGTGCACTAACACAAAGGTGTTGGCAGGGCTATGTTCCTTCTATAGGCTCTAGGGGAGACTGAGTGAAACGCTGAGCTTCCCCAGCTTCTAGAGGCTGCTGCATCCCTTGGCTCATGGACCTCTTCCATCTTCAAAACTAGAAATCACAGCACTGTGACCTCTACCACCGTTGTCACATCTCCTGTCACCTTCATGGACCGCCTGAGCCTAGACCCTTGAGATTACATTGCGATCCGCCAGATATTCCAGAATAGTCTTCTCATCTCAAGATTCTTGGTGAATCCCACTTTCTGAATCGCATTTTCAAGAACATTTGCCACATAAGGTAACATATTCATAGGTTCTGGGGATAGGTGGTGGACATTGCTATAGACCAAATGTTTGCATCCCCTCAAAATTTGTATGTTGAACTCCTAATCCCCAAGGTAATGGTATTAAGAGAAAGGACCTCTGAGAGGTGTTTAGGTCATGAGGGTGGAGTTCTCATGAGCGAGATTAGTGCTTTTATAAAAGAGGCCCCAGAGAGCTGCCTTGCCCTTTCCACCATGTGAGAGCACAGCAAGAAGGCACCATCTATGAACCAGGAAACGGCCCTCACCAGACACTGAATCTGCTGCTATCTTGATCTCGGATTTCCCAGCCTTAATTGTGAGAAATAAATGTTGGTTGTTAAAGCCACCCAGTCTATGGTATTTGGGGTATAACAGCCCCAATGGATGAGACAGACATCTTTGGAGAGCTATTACTCTCTTTACCATACCTGCCAAATTAACAACTCCAGTAGAAGAAAGAGGCTTCTTTTGTGATAATTCCAGAAAATGTCATGGGCTGACTTTGCTTAGACTAATTTCTTCAGATTTAGGAAACAGGCAGAGGTGGTTCCTCAAGGCAAAGCCAAGATGCTACTAGAAGAGGAATGAATAATGGATACATAAAAATAACAGATGACCCCAATGCTATTAATTTCTTTCAAACTCCTTTTTGCCATCAGAAAGCAGTAATAAACTCACATATCAATTCCAATAAAATAATTTTTTAAATCGCCTAAACTTACCTTTCAACATAGCAAGCAAAAAGCAATGAATAAAATTGCTTCACCAAGATATGGAAGCTCTGTTGACCAGAAATTCAGCATAGATAGTTATTCAAGATAATTTCAATGTGTTCAGCAGATAAAGGGACAAGTAAGAACTCTTTAATGGCAACTTTAGCTGAGAGATGTGTTAAATTGTATATTTGGTAGACTGAAACTAAAGAATAAAAAAAGAGACAGCTTGATATAACTTTCTATGCCAAACCCAATGTTATACTCTAAATCTAAAACTCCAGAAAAAGTTTGAAAGCAACAAATATGAAGTCAGGAAAATCATTCTAAATTACCAACTATTTAGGTATAATCTTGAGCATTTCAGCTGTAGGTGAAAGTCTTATTTAATCAGCTCACATAGATTCTCACATGCTATGAATAATAGTTCATTTGGATATCTCTTAAAAACAAGGAGGGATAAAGACAGGAAGGAAGAAAGCTGGCAGGTAGTAAGAGCCAAAGTAAAGATATTATTTTGATTAAAATATACTCATTATTGAGGTATCCACAAATATTTGAGAACACATTGAAGAAGTAAGACAGGTCAGAAAATATAAGTATATGATCAGCACTTAGCAAAAACAGTTGAAGAGAAAGAAAGAGCAAACGAAAAATTGCTTAAAGCAACACAGATATTCAAAGATAAAGAATTAAAGCCGAAATAAATGTGACAGAAATGGAATGGAAGGAAAATGAGGATAAATATTTAAAAAGTTATGAAACATTGGCAAAAATAGCTGAAGAATGCAGAATAAAATGTCCCAGAAAACATTTATCAAAGGGTTATATTTTATTAGCATTCAGTAGTCACAAGGCAAGAAATATTATGATAGCTATAAATAAATACATGAGAATGTTTAAGGTTTTATGATGATCGCGGCTTTACTGTTCAATATATATTAAATAAACCACAAGTTATCTATAATACAGTTCTGAATAAAATTTAGGAAAAGTAGAGTCAAGTGCTTCAATATAGAAAAATACAGAAATAATTAACCATAATGCAGACAAAATGACACCCAGTTGTAGACAGCACTACAAGCATTGAAATATTCAGAATATTATTTGATTAAAAAAATAAACTTGTGTAAAGATACCCTAAGCAATACCAAAGATACACACACACACACACACACACAGATACACACAACACACACCCGCTATATATAGGAAGGAAGAAAGTTTCTTTATTGGAGACACAGTTTACACATTACCTCATGTTTCTATGAGATGCTATAAGAAAAATTCTCTTAAGATTTACTACATGGATAATATATTTATATAGTGTCTGTGTGTATGTATAGTAAACTCTAATATATATATATATATGGATATCTTACAGTCTTATAGACTATGAGAGTGAGAGTAAGAGAGAGAGAGAGGAGTGTATACCTATTTCCTCTCAAAAAGTCCATATTCTGGTAACTCCCTTACTCCCCATTCCCTACTATCCAATTTGATCTAGCCTTGATTTCCCAGGAGGTTCTCTTCCAGAAAAATGCCTGTAGCTATAAAGTAATCTTCATCTTGGCTGTTTCAAATTTCAATGCAGGATTTCTATTGAGCCAATACCTTACCATTTTCTTTCCTTCGTGGAATTGTGCTTTGTCATGATGCAATAAGTTTTCTATTAAGTATATCATAAACAACAGTCCTACAGAATTCATCACTGGACATACTATAGCTTCTTTATTGGGGACACAGTTTACATATTACCTCATGTTTCTACGAGGCGCTATAAGAAAAATTTCTCTTAAGATTTACTGCATGGATAATTTGTACCTATACTTGTAGTTTGTTTTTATCATATGGATGAGGTAATTATCAAAGGACTGATTGTTTTCCTTCTTTACACTGACTGCGAATAAGTTCAGAGCCAATGTTAGCTTAACTCCAACTATAGAGGCTGATTTCATATATTTTGATTCCAAATCTAATTCAAGGTTTAGGTTCCTGCCCTTATTTTTTTCTTGATTTTCATATTTCTTTGCTGTTGTTTTTGTAGATTTTTCTGTGCCTTATACTTTTTTTCAAAGATAATTAAAACAGTTTGTGAATTCAGCTGGGTAGATAAATGAATGAGGCAGACAGAAAGGAAATTTACATGGTGGGTTAACAAACTTACATAATATGTAGATGCATATAAAAAGACATATGAAGAAAACAATGTCTCTAATATATCTAATCCTCCTTATGAACGATCCCATCCACCAAATAGTCAAGAAACTTAAATTTTATAAATTGCAATTAACAATGTCTCATTTTATTCAGGTTTAAAGAGTTCCTTTCAC